TCTTTTTTCTCCAGGATTTTCTTTATACGCTTTTTCACGTGCCGTTTTAAAACTTTTTCTTGTTTCTTATTATTGTGCTTTTATTCAATCAAATTTTTCTTCCCTCTTTCCATCTTTTTCCTACAACATATCTATCTCCCACATTCGTATTCTCGTATCACGGCAATCATCTACCGTTCCAATAACCAGATAGGGTCAAAATTGTGGTAATGCTGCTGCCACATGTGGGACAGGAGATGTCCAGTTTTCACAGTGTCTCGACAGTGTCCAAAATCGTTTTTGTGGATAGTTTATTTTCTAATTTAAAAAATTATTGCAAAGAAAAAAAACGTCCTAAGTCACTTCGATTATATTTTATCGCTATTTCCATGGCAAATGTTCAGGAGAGCTACATTCCTTAGTTCCACCAGTTCAGACCTTTACAGCTAAGCCTCTCTCTACTCTATCGTTATTTCCATGGCAAATGTTCAGATGAGCTACATTCCTTAGTTCCACCAGTTCAGACCTTTACAGCTAAGCCTCTCTCTACTCTATCGCTATTTCCATGTCAAATGTTCAGGCGAGTTACATTCCTTAGTCCATCCAGTTCAGACCTTTACATCTAAGCCTCTCTCTACTATATCGACATTTTAATGGTGAATGTTCAGACGAGCTACATTTTAGTTCCACCAGTTCAGACTTAAAAATGTTCTCTACGATTTCCATGGCAAATGTTCAATGAGCTACATTAGTTCCACCAGTTCAGACCTTTATTCAAAGCCTCTCTCTACTCTATCGCTATTTCCATGGCAAATGTTTAAAAGTTACATTCGGTTTAGTTCCATCCAGAATAAGACCTTAACATCTAAGCCTCTCTCTACTATATCGAATTTTAATTGGCAAATGGCAAATAGGACATTTTCTTAGACGAGTTCAGACCTTTACAGAAACCCTCTCTCTAGTTACGCTATTTGGGTCAAAAAAATGTTCAGACTACATCCCTTAGTTCCACCAGTTCAGACCTTTCATCTAAGCCTCTCTTGTATATTTATTTCCATGGCAAATGTTCAATGTGAGTACATTCCTTAGTTCACCAGTTCAGACCCTTAGTTCCTATTTCCATGGCAAATGTTCAGTTCAGAAACAACCCTTAGTTCCACCAGTTCAGACATTTTACATCTAAGCCTTTACAGATATTTCCATGGCAAATGTTCAGATGAGCTACATTTCTTAGTTCCACTAGTTCAGCCCTTTACATCAAAGCCTCTTTCTACTCTCTCACCATTTTCATGGCAAATGTTCAGACGAGCTACATTCTTTAGTCTCACCAGTTCAGACCTTCACAGCTAAGCCTCTCTCAATTCTATCGCTATTTCCATGGCAAATGTTCAGACGGACTACATTCGTTAGTTCCACCAGTTCTACCCTTCACGGTTAAGACCCGCCATGCTACGCATTCTCTTCGCATTAAATTGTTGACATACATGTTCCATTCGAGACGCTTCTTTCCGCGAAGCTCTGTTTTGTGGAACCGACCTCCAAGAGGATGCTTCCAAGATTACTGCAATCTTAGCCTTTTTATGTCTAGATTTAGCAGTTGTCTTTCCCACATATCCCATTAAACTGTACTTCTTACACTGTAAACCTTTACCTCGAATTATTCTTGGGCCTAGTTCGGTGTGAACATTATTGAAAATTAAAAGAAATCGACAGCATTTCTTCTTAAATTCCTCTGTAAAATTTATTAAAGTTCATTTTGTTTTTCATCTTACTACTTTTCGTCATTTTTCATGTAAAGACTTATTTACCATATTCTGTCAACCACATCCTGCAGCAAGGCCTTTGATTGGAAGATTAAAGGTTTGGAGGATGTCCAAACCACATTTAATTGTACATTTGGGTCCACACTGACCCGGGTGGTATCATCAGTTAGGGTTTTAGCTTTGGGCAATTGCTGAACCTACTAACAAAACACTATGAAAGTAAAAATCACATTTTGATAGTATACAAAATATACATTTATATATATATATATATATATATATATATATATATATATATATATAGAAGAAGTTGCAAATTAAAAAATAATGTCTTATTTTATGAAAGTATTTATTTATTTATATATATATATATATATATATATATATATATATATATATTTGATATTTCAAATTGTCCTCACCTTTTCATCAGAAATAACTTTTTGTTACAAATAAATTAAAATTACGGTTTGTTAGTTAGTAGCGTCCGTGCAAATGTTACGGACGTCACGTAATATGGAACGTCATTTTGAGAACACAATTTCAATAATAATAATAATTATTATTAAATTATTATTATTATTATTATCTTGCCACAGCTTCTGCAGTTGATTCTTCGAAACTCGAAAACTTTTCAAGAATCCTCGTGGAGTAAATGATTTTATTTTTTTCTGGATGCCTACAATCTAAATTCCATGTATTTTTTCAATTTTTCTAGGTGGTGTTTCAATGTTCATAGGTGGTAGATATATATATATATATATATATATATATATATATATATAACGTCATCCACAGACAGACTGTTTCGCTGTTTACAGTTTCATCAGTGTGGCTAGACATCCGGTTGCCTCTAGCTAGGATCGAAACCCGACTGAATTGGTGTCAGTCGGAGCAAACCACTAAGCGCAAGTAAAGGGATGAAGGTGGATTTTAGCATATTTGTATTTTTTTTAGAAACATACCCAGTGACTGACAGAGTCTATCTATATAGCTATAATAGTCACTGTTTACCAACCCACACATCTTCTCCAGAGTGCTCAACTGAAATTAATTTCAGGAGCAGATATATATATAATTATGGACATAAAAATGTCTTTTAATTTTTATGTTCATACATTCTTTTTATAGATACAATTGTTTAAGTAAATGCTCTGTTTATAATAAACAGTATTAAACAACGTTTACCGGCCTGAATGTCCGAGAAATTTTCACATAAAATATTCGTCCTTCAACAGGATTCGAACCTCTATCCTATACGGTACCGTCATTTAGCTTGACGTGACTTTAACCGATTTGGCCACAGAGGAACGTTCGGTTAGCAAGGGCGAATTTACTATTTTTAACCTACAATCTTACATGAATCTCTCACGGACATTCATATCTGCACATGGCGTATCCAAATGTAAACAAATGACGTCACACATTATGAAATGGACAAAGTCCGACAATTATTTTAAGATATTTTCATGTTTATACATTCTTTTGATTCTTCAAATATTTAATATTATTATTTTTTTATAATAAACAGTATCAAAACATTTTACCGATCTGAATGTCCGATAAATGTTGTTTAATATAATTCCATTTTATTAATTTTAGATAATTTATTTAAATATTTGTATCTAAAAAAAAATGTATAAAAAAAAAAATGTCTTAAAATATTAAAAGAATTTTATCCATTTATAAATATATATATATATATATATATATATATATATATATATATATATAAAGGTGAACATTGAAGGCAAATATTTATAGGTGACAGATTGTTTCATGCTAGAGGCTGTCGCATCTGAGTGTTGACATTACGTTGACATGGAGAAAAAATAAAATAAATATAAATTTAATTATCCAACTGTTAAAAACAATATCAACAAAAACAATGACAGGAGCAGATAAGGGTAACTCTATGAATTGTTAGATTAATTCGGTTAGCAAGAATCGAATCATTTAAGAAGAACGTTTTTCCTATGAATGCAGGTATGTTTGCTAGTATCTATTCTCTAAAAGCTACAAATAACTGAATTCTTCTCTACAATTAATTCTACTCAATATATTTTATATTAATTGGAAATATAACAGTTGCTGCCGACCAAATAATCAATAAGATAATAAAATAAACCCAGAATAGCTGACTTTGGTAACAATTTTTTTTTGGGGGGGCGGTTAAGCGTTTCACCCCAAGCAAGGCGGGAAACCACTAGGACGCAAGAGCTTACAGAAGATTTGGAGCAAGATGAGATAGGAGTGATAGAAGAAAGGATGAGGAGAAGGGTAGTGGATAGATCAAGGCAACTGGAGATGTCGATTGACATTACATTTGAATAGCTGGAGATTATATCTCTCAGGGAAACTGGAATAGGTTAGGGAGTTCCACAGGCGAGAGGTGCGAGACATGAAGCTATTGGAGTAGAAGAGACGGCTGCATTAAGTAGTTTCGACATTGAAAGGGTGAGAGCGGGATGCCAGCCTCGTAGGGCGCTTGAACTCATGAAGTCTGGGAACCAGTGAATGCAGCTCCTTGGAGCAATTGCCATGAAAGTATTTGTAAAACAGACAGAGAGAGGTGACGGCGGGTCTGTGAAAGAGCGACTGTAGACGAGATGCCAGAGCATATCCGCCTCTGGAGCTTGTCAAGAACCCCGAGGTAAACAGAAGGGGCTCCAGAACGGCATATCAACACATTGTGGGTCATTTAACGCTGAAATTTCATTTTCCTGGTAGCTGGTAATTTATATTGAAAATTGTATCACTGGTATTTTTCTTTTTCGAAAATTTTTTTTTTTTTTTTACTAGGAAAATGTATTGTTGATATTTTTGCTATAAACGTGGATTTTTATACTCTTTTGACTCCATTTTGTGTGTTGTTTATTTGCGCAGACCTGGGGTCCTAACAGGTACAAATTCTCCGTGCTACCCGTTGACCAAAATATATCAAGCCACCACACAATACACATGGTCTGAAGATCGTGTTCATGCATGAAGTCACTTGATATTGTGCGCAATGCCCACACCAGTCCGTGGTAACCATTGAGCACAATGTATAAATAGTTGAGTCACTACACAACAAAAACATAAAGATTGTATTCAGGCATGAAACAGGCTGTCACCACATGTTATTGACAGCAGTGACCACACCACCCCACGGTAGATATTGACCAGAATATATAAATATTGGTGTTGCCACACAATAAAACATGGCCTGAAGATTGCGTTTCAGAATGAAACAGGTTTTCACTACTCGGCGATTACCTCAGTCTCCACACTTAGATAGATAGATAGATAGATAGATGAGATTTTGAACTGAATAAATTTATGAAATTTTAGATCGATATATAGATAGATAGATAGATAGATGATTTTTAGATATTTGAAATGAAATAGATTAGATAGATAAATAGATAGAAAGAATAGATTGATAGATAGATAGAGATAGAGATTATAAAATAGAAATAGATAGATAGATTGATATAGATAGAAAACTGAAAGAGATAGATAGATAGATGATTCGACAGATAGATTTGATAAATGAAATAGATAGAAATAGATAGATAGATAGATAGATAGATGAGAATGAAATGAGATAGATAGATAGATAGATAGATAGATAGATAAAAACAAAAAAGAAATAGATAGATACTGGAGATATGTCGGTCAAATAGATAGATAGATAAAACCTTTAGATTGAATAGTTTAGACTGGAGACCTGAGGGAAATGAAATAGATAGATAGATAGATATAGGATAGATAGATGGATAGATTAGATGAGAGACTTGAAATGAGATAGATTCCATATTTCTTCTTAGATAGACAATTTCTTGTTTAAAAGATTTTTTAGATATTTGAAATAACTGAAGATAGATAGATAGATAGATAGATAGATCAGATGCACAAGATAGATGAGTTTTCAAAAGACTGAAATGAAATAGATAGATAGATGCCCGCAAAAGATAGATAGATAGATAGATAGATACCTCGGCTTTAGATAGATCCATTAAAGAGAAAATGAATTTCTCTGGTATATGATAGAGAGATAACAGATAGATAGATAGATAAGAGGTGACCAACCTTTTTTGAAATAGATAGAAAAAACAAAATCCGAGATTAGATAGATAGATGATGAAGAGACTGAAATGAAATAGATAGATCTTAATACGAAATGAAATAGATAGATAAATCACAAATAGATAGATAGATTTCCAAATTGATCTATGACAATGATCTATCCTTCATCTGTCGATATGTCATAATGTTTAGATCTTTCCCCCCTTTGCTATAGATTCCTTTTCCTTTTATAGATAGATAGATAGATAGATATAGATAGATAGATAGATAGATAGATAGATGGATAGATAGATATAGATAGATATAGATGAGACTGAAAATAGAGATAGATAGATAGATAGATAGATAGATAGATAGATGAGAAGAGAATGAAATAGATGAAATAGATGGACGAGAGATAGATAGATAGATGGAGATGATAGATGATGACTGAAGATAGATAGATAGATAGATAGAAGGGAGATAGATTTAGATAGATAGATAGATAGATAGATAGATAATAGATAGATATAACTGATAGATAGATAGATAGATGATAGATAGATAGATAGACGATTGATAAGACTTTTGAGATAGATTGAGAGATAGAAGAGATAGATAGATAGACGAAATGAGATAGATAGAGATGACATAACTTTAATGATGAATAACTGAGATAGATAGATAGAGAGAGACTTTAATAAATAGATGAGAGACTGAAATGAAATAGATAGATAGATAGATAGATAGATAGATAGACTGGAGACTGAAATGAAATAGATAGATAGATAGATAGATAGATAGATAGATAGATAGATAGATAATGAATGGCGACCAGGCATTTTATAGCAAACCCCTGGAGAATTTCGGAGAGTAAACCGGCTGAAATATTGCTAGTACAACTACAAAAATGAGTGCAGCAGTTAAAGATGACTCGATTGATAATAACCATGATTTCTCATCTCAGAAACTTAGACAGAATGTAAAGGCCATGTCTTTTAAATATCTGTATTGCTATCGAAAGCAAACATTAGGATATTCTACAATGAAGTTTTCTTTTCCCCAATTCATCTCTGATTACTCTGCCCCCGTCTATTTCTGTAGATCTGTGTACGACAGAATAGGTATTAAATCGCCCTGTCAGGAACGTAATGGTTACTTCATGAAGGCAATCCGACATAATGACGTGTTCTTCGAAAATCACTGGACCGGCATGATTCTCCGAGACAAGCATTTATATCCCGTGATCCAAAATCGGAAACGCTTGTCTCACCCTTATTCGACAGGCTAGCTTTAGAGTTCCCAAATATATTACATAAGACGTCGTTTTTGTAAATAGAAATAAGGACTTTGGCATGGGTTTAACAAGCATTATTCATCCGATATGAAACATTCACAAAAGATATGACAATTTATATACACATTTCTCTCTATCTCTCTGTCTCCCTCCCTCCTCTCTATCTCTATCTCTCTCTCTCTCTCTCTCTATATATATATATATATATATATATATATATATATATTGAACAATAAATAATATTAAAAAATTAAAATCTTCAGACACACTGGGTTGTAGATTAATATTCTTCCGTTTTTATTATTATTATTTCATTTAGATTCCTCGACTAGTTTCGGCCAACATGGCCATCATCAGGAGAAAAAAAAGTCTGCTTGCTGGTAGCAGTGAACTACAGAAATGAATGTCTTT